AAAAACCAGAAATTATAGAACATCTCCCTCCCCAAACTTCAGCAGCTGAGCACTGAGGACCATCATAAGAAGGCAAAATGTTAAAGGTTATTTTTCCCTTGCTATCTCTGAAAATGCAACAACATGTAAAATGTGTTATCTTTTCCATTAATGCAAAATGAAATGTGGTTTTGCATGCTGTCTTATAGAGATCTGCGAAACAGGAAATGATTGCTTGATGGGGACAATGGCAATCAGAAGCATCAACTGTGTTACTATACAACATGGAAGTTATCTTTTATCTTAGAAAGCTGCATTTGCTTGAGTTGAAGGCATATTCATTGACCTGGAGGCCTGTCAGGAATTATACCTAGAGAAACTCAGTAAAATCAGAGATTATTTTCTACAGTCCATTTAAATTTCCAGCTACCCTACACTTTCATGCTTTTTGTTCAAAGCCAAAACTTCACAGGTAAATTTGCATCTCCTTTTCCAAATTCTTTATGTTTTTCCACATGCCTGTATTTCCATGTGCAGACAGAAATGAAAGGAAATAATAATGCTGGAGTATTTCCACTTAATCCAGAAATTTACAGCCCTAACTTTATAACAGTTTTAGTCCTCCACTATTTGCAGTTCCAGGTCCTTTGCTGTTTGCAATCAAATTTACAAATGCTTTCAGAATAGTTGTGCTTTACAGAAGAACAATCAAGAATGATCCATCTCCACCTGCAGGAAGGCTGGAAAAGATTGCAGAAGACTCATGCAGTCAAACAAGGAGCTCCTGACTAAAAAAATATAAAAAGGAACCATGCAAGGGAGGAATGCGGGCTCAGGTTATACAGGAGAAATATGTAGGTACTGAGTACTCAAGGATGTGATTAGGAAAGCCAAAGCCCACCTGAAGTCAAATCTAGTGAGAGACGTGAAAGGCAATAAGGACTTCCAGAAGCCTACCAACAGCAAAAGGAATTATAGGTGAAAAAGCAGGGCTGACACTGAATGGGGAGGGAACCCAGTGACAGTGGGCATGGGTAGAGGCCAAGGTACTTCATCCAGAGCTGTATTAATAAGACTTCCTTCAGGAACCCCTGGATTGAGTCTAATGAAAGGACATGAAGACTGGAGCATATAAAAAAAAAAAAAAAGTGCTTGAGAAGTCTAGAAGTGTTCAGTATATTACAGAGAAGGCTCACAATAATCTTATCAATGTGTATGAAAAGGTAGAAATAAAGATGATGGAGTCAGACTGTCATATTTGGTGGCAGGGCAAGAAGCAAGGGGCACAAACTGTAATACGAGAAATTTCATTTTAACATCAGACAAAAAATTCATTATTCAAACACTGGAACAGACTGCCCAGAGGTGTTATGGAATTTCCATCCTTGGAAATATTAGAAACTTAACTAGGCACAGTCCTGACAAACTTGCTTTAGCTAACCATGCTTTATGCATGACAGGTGGAATAGGCCATCTCCTGAGGCCCTTCCAAACTCAGTGATACTGTGATTCCAGAAAGGGCTGCAAATCATGTATCACAAGTACCTCAGAAATAAAAGCTAGAAACTTCAACACTTGGTTTAAGGTGCTTGAAAAGGTGTTTCATTGACCACACAAGACAGACATCAGCAGTGGAAAAGCAGACTCTGAAATATTTTTTTTTTAAAGGAGCAAAAGAATCTAGGACTTTGTTCTGCCACTCAAAATTTCATTATTCAATAAAGATCTGAACGACTTATGGAACTTAAATAGTAATTATTCAGTGATGTAAATAGTCACAATCATCAAGTGGCAATGATTTTGTGTGTTATAAAGCTTGATGCCTTTTTATTCTTTGTAAATGATCTGAAATTAAGTAAAGACTGACTCATTATCAGATTTGTAAATCCACCAAAGTCTGCAGAATATTAAGCAAGGTAGAGAGAGCAACTGTACAGAAGGATCTGGAAATTAATTAAGTTTAAGCCCATTCTTAGAGCACATACCTTAATACAGTCAAATAGATACAGAAGCAAGGAATACATGCTTGAACTTTACTCAAGGACTCTATCCGGTAAAATAGTGACTTCATACCTTATGGCTTCTAAATAATTGTCCAACTGCTGAACAGAAACTTCCAGCCCAGTTCTTCCACCCAAAAAAAGGCTACTGTGAGTGTGAGTAAACAGAAGTCTTTGATGAGAACTACTGTGAAGAAACTGTAATTCTACTCTCAGAAATAATATTTAATTATATATAGACAAAGGAAGTGCAAAAGTGACTTAGACTGAACAAAGTTTCACATTAATTTCAATAACTACATTGTCTTAGTTTACTAAAAGAATATTAAGCTGTGATTTTGAATGAATGACTATTTTCATTGAAACAAGCAGTTTAAAAGGCTGTTTACTGGAGAAGAGTAAAAGCAGAACTCAGAAGTGATCACTAGAACAAATTCAAATAGAATTAAGTTATGATTTTTTAACAATGAGATAGAATATTGAATCATCTCTTACAGGTTTGAAATTTAGGTTACCTACACTTCTGAAAGAGTAGGATAGATTATGAGTTGCTAAGCTCATGTAATGCATGTAATGGTCATGGGGTTTGCTACCTTGCCATCTGGAACTAAATAATCTAATGATCCTAAGAGAAGATCAATTACTTTGTGGAAGTATCAAAACAGTCACTTTAATTAAAACGCAGTTTATTCTTGTCAAAACTTAAGTTCATTATCAACTCACCTCTGTGACATGGGTTAAATCTGAGGGGAAAAAAATTCAGGTGATCATGTATCCCCATGTTCTAGTAGCTCCATTTCAAGGCATATCCTCCAATAGAAGCCAAACACTGAATGGCTATCTATTGTAGCATAAAACAGTTCCTATATTTATTCTATGCTCCCTGATTGCTCAGACAGAATTTGTTAATAATGTTAGTTTAATTCCTCTACTGATCTGCAGAACATTTATAGACTCCTGACATGTTTCCAATCAGAAGCATGCAATTTTAACAAAGACGTAGCATTAATACTATTAACAAGTATGGAAAGTCTTCTGAATGAAAATATTTCAATTTCTATGTTTCTTATTCCAATTTAGCTGGTTTAATTACATTTCAGTGAAAATACCATGTCATTCCTTTTTTTCCCTCTACCCTGTCTCCACTACAAGAAAGCATCTGTACAGAGGTAGACACTTTTACACCACATTGAGTTCAGCAGCATGCAGATGGCTGCAGTCCCTTCCCCTCTGGTATGTAGGGGCTCAGGGCACATATTAAGGTTCAGCTCTTCATTCTGCAAATGAGTGGGAAGCAGATGATCACTAAGAGAGAAAGAGCAGGGCTGAGAGAACAATGGATTTCTCCTTGGAGAATGAATATTAAACCTGACCAAGCAAAACAAGAAACTCATCTTGACAGCAACAGATAAGAACATGTTTGCTTTCTCCTCAACAATATGGGGAAGCAAAGCTACTTCCATTTTGAAACAAACTAAAATATTTCATTTTCCCTGGCAAGAAACATTTTATTTTTACCACAGGTGTTTCTAAAGCAGGCAAAGCAAAGGATTGGAGAGCTAGAGCTTAGGAACAAACTGAGATGGGAGATGGCTCTTTTTCTCTACAGAAGCCCTGGATTTAAAACAGCCAACTGATTGCATGCACAAAGCTACTTAATTGCTTTCCTCCTGAGGAGATCTGAACTCAGTAACTGCTGTTTGTAGAATACCTGAAACACAAAGCCCTTGGTAATTCTGCTGGGATGTTCTGCTGCTTCAACTGTTTAAAGTATTCTAATCTGAAATATCTATTGAGACAATGAGAGAAAAGCACACTTAGCTCTGTTCAGAGCCAAGAAGCCTGGCAAAATCACATTTTATTTAATGTATGATATCTAATCAATTGGCTGTAGCTTACGTGAGTTTCTACACTGCCTAACAACCATTTCCAAAAACCTCTTGCAAAGGCAGTTTATGAGGTATTTTACTTTTATCTTCATTCCCCAATAAAACATTAAGTAAATCACTACCTAACCCTCTGAGATTTTCTGTGATACCATGAAACAGTGGTAAGTCACTGTTCCATCTCCATTTCAGAAAATGACACCCTAAAATAGTTGCAGAGAATTGTTTCTAACCCACAGGTCCCCTTCCACCCCAATGACATCCTACCCACTACATCTGACATTTTTCTTGAGCAAAATGGCTGGTTGAGTGACTACTAATTCATCTCCTGCTGAATGCAGAGCAGAAAACACCTACTTCTCCACAGTACATGCTGATATATAAGAAATTATGTTTTCCAACACAGTGTTTAAAACTGTATCTGTGTCTCCAATACTAGCTGAATCATTCAGCCCTGGTAACATCATAGCACAGTGCTGTTTTTATGAATTATGGGTCTCTCCTGAACAAGAAGATGCTGAGGTTTTCATTTTTCTCTGCCAGTATACACCTGCACTTGGAATATAACATTCTAACTCTGCAGAAATGCATATTTTCAATTCTCTGAGCTAAACAAAAAAGCAGAAGCAGACAGCAAACCAAGCTTTGTTTCGTCCATCTGTGGCTGAAATACACTGTTGGTTGGACCCTGCGTTCCTCTTCAGCTCAAGAAGGGGCTTTACTCTCTTCACAAACCTGTGGTGGAATAGCTGTATCCACACTTTGCTGAATTTAACTGCCTAATCTCCCAATAGGAGCTATTATTAAATTAGTCCAAATGGATTTGGTTTTATGGTGACCTTTTTAGTGACAACATGTTCAGGGAGGGCTTTCTCAAAGGAGTGAAAGAACAGATGGGCAGCCAAGGCTAGCAGCTCTGTTCATTTTACTGCATGGGATATTTTTTCCCCCTGCACCCCCCAGATGTATTTTCCTGCTTTATTTTTTGCCTGCAGTTTTGATACATTTATAAGACATTATTTATACATATATTCTTATGGTCCAAGTCCTAACAGCATAAATATGACTGTTTATTTGAAGTCTTTTTATCTATTACTATTTTTCTGAAGTCTTTTTAAAACAAGATTGACCCTTCTAAGAAGCAGTTAGATGTGACAGTAAGTCTCCTTCATTCACTTTAGCTTAGGGCTCTGCCTCCTGTGAAAGCTTCCTTTCAGCAGCAAAAAGTCTCTAAAGTTTTGTTCTAAATCAAAATTCAGTATACATGCCTTAGTGCTCACTCCAGGACTAACTTTCTCTCATTCCTGTTTGTGAAATGCATTGGATGCCAATGACAACTAATGCAGCATTCTGAAGAAACAATGTTTTCCAAACAGATTGTTGAAAACATGCAGATGTTTGTGAAGTACCTCTTTCTCCCGGGACATTTACCAGACATCTATCACTGCATTGAGAAAAATTTAAAAAACAAAATAAAACACAAACAAACAACAAAAAACAGGGCTCAAGCATTGCCTACCACATAGCTCTAACTGCAGTACTGAAAATAATTTTCTTTACTTACACAGTTATTAAGGATATATGAATTGAAAAACCATTTTTTCATGTGTGGGCTTTTTCCACCCTTACAGAGAACAGCAACTGTACTTACTCTATGGATTATTTCCCCTAGAACCCTGCAGAGCAACAAGCATATCACACTCTGCTGCAGGAAACAGATCATGAAAGAATTGAAGGAATTTAGGTTTTTGAGCATGGTAAAACTTCCTCTCTCTTTCCAAGATGAAGCCCTCAGATATTTCTTCAAATTTTCTTATTCTTCCAGCTATTATCCTCTCCAGTAGAAAAGGGTTAGCCATTATTTTACTATAACCAACATCTTTTCAAGCTGAATCCTTTACATATTTTCACACAGTTTTGCATATTCACATTGCTTTTCTTCACATAAAATTGTATTTACCACATTCCCTCAGAATATTGTGTTCAGAAGCCTGTGGCCTGAGGTGTATCATCTTCCTTGCGACGTCTGTTTCAACGCTCATCCGAGGCCTCATTGTGGCTTATGTGACAAGGCTCAATTCAACTAAAAATAAAAAAGAGGAAAAAAATCCCATTTGATATCAGATTAATATTATATTATTATCCATTTTCTTTATCAGGAATTATTTTCATCTAGCAGTGCTGTTATCATACTTGCGTATGTTTTGAGGTCTTGTAAGCTCTTGCAAAGTGATACAATTCCACCACAATTCTTGTCTCTTCTCAAATGTGTGCACTTTTTTTGTCTTCCAGACACCAACATTCTTTCATCCTTGCAGTATTTTGGATGCTCCATCATGAATGGCAGGATCAGAGGACAATATCTGCACTCCACATATGCCTAAACCCGCTTCCTTCATTTTTGTCACGTGTTAGTCCTGAGCTACACAGTAGCCTCTTTTTTAACATTCTGCTTTCATACACTGCCTATTAATTAATCACAAAACAGGGGAGAAAAGGAAAAGCGAGAGGGGAGAAAGAGAGGAGAAAGAAGAAAGAGAGGAGAAAGAAGAAAGAGAGGAGAAAGAAGAATAAAGAGAGGAGAAAGAAGAAGAAAGAGAGGAGAAAGAAGAAAGAGAGGAGAAAGAAGAAAGAGAGAAGAAGAAAGAGAGGAGAAAGAGAAAATGCTTCGTCAGTCACATCACAGGCAAACAAGTCCATATTTATTTTCTTCTATTTTCTGTTAAAAAAATGAAGCTCAGATACTTCATTCCTACATCATCCCCATCTCTTTTCTTTTCAACTGCTTTTTCTCATTTGGTAATATTCTTTTTAATTTGAGAAGCTAGCATTCCATACTATATTCAAAATGATTGTACATGATGAATTTGCAAAGTGGCATAATGAGGTTCAGATTTGTTCTCTGTTCCTTTCACAATAATTCATAATATTCTATCTGATTTTTGACTGCCACTCAGCACTGCTCTCCTGTTTCCATAAGGCTATCTATTACCACTCTCAGAATGAGATTTAGGGTTGTAATAGTCAGCTCACAACCCATACAAGAATACGTCAAATTATGACCATTCTTTCCTCGTCGTGCCACCTCCCCCACTCCCAAGGGAATCATTATCTATTAATCTACATTGAATTTAATCAGCTGTTTTATCATTGCATTCTTGGATTGCTTTGCAGCTCTTTATCATCAGTAGATGGTATCACCAGCAAACTGTTTCCTCAGTGTTCTTTCTTCTCCTGATCATTTAGAAATATGCTAAAGAACATATTGCAGCATGGAATAGTCAACTTTGTGGGAAAATTCCCAACACTGTGACAAATCATGTTTTACCCACGCCCTCTTTACCCTAGTTTATAATCCACTATTAGTCCATATGAAAACCTTCCCTTTTATCCCCTGGTCTCTTAGTTCTTAGATTTTTGCAAGAAATCATGATAACCTGCTTTGAGAAATACATTTACGGAATCCAGAAAAAGTCAGACCTGTCAGACCTGATTTATTTTTTTTTTTTTAACAGAAGATGAAGGCTTATCCCAATATATGTTTTCTGCTTATCCATCTAATATGTATATTCTTAAATAAAGTTTGCTCTAGCCTACCTAACAGTGAATTTACTGACATGTAGCAATGTTTTAGCTGTTTCACCTCTTTAGAGCTTCCAAGCTTCTAAGCTTCATCTCTGTCTGTAGACATATCTTTTCTTTTTGTCCATTTGCTCAGAGACCTCATCCATCAATAACTAGATTTCAGAAAGATCCATCGATAAACAGATTTGAGAAAGACCCTCCAACATTTTTCCCCATCAAAAAGCCCTACCATTTGAAAAATCTCAGCCAGTTCTTCCTAAATGTACATTTTTTAAAAAAAAGTTTAATTTTTCAGCTATACTGTCTTCTCTTTCATACATTAATCACTTATTGGACTTACAAGTCTCCACAACGCTTACTTTTTGAATGCACACAGAATAATGATTTATCACTCAAGTTTATGTTTTCAATTCTTCCTTGAAAACTTTTTTTTTTTTTTAACTCATGTTCTTTACCCACAGCATCCTTCTTTCTGTAAGCAAAGAATTCCCTTCACAACACACACCAGCAAGAGATAAATTTGACTTGAACGTTCCAGAGAATAGCTACCTAGGATCAGAGCTGACACAACTGTTAAGAACAGCTTTAAACTAAGAAATTATAGATCTCCAAACACTAGTGGAAAGAAAAAATATAGGGTAAATGAGAACTCAGACGTGGATTAAATAATCCTGTGATTACAGGAGAACATATGGTAAAAAAAGAGATCTGACTGTGAAGAGCAATCAGGTAAAAGAAGATGACATGCCTGAGTCTACTCTGTGCAACAATGGAATAAGAAACAACTCTGATGTATAAAGCTTTCTCAACACAATAAAAGATCTTGAATTACATTTTTAGGATGTAAAAATAAATGTTAGGGAGAAAACATAACCTTGACAACCTAGAATTCAGAACTGGAGCATAGATACAGAAGGACAGATACCATATAGTAAAGATGATTCTAAAGATGACATCTGTGGTGCACTCACTAAGCTATAAGGCATTATGAAGGAAACACTTTTTATAACATCCACGGCCAGATATAATCTTGGATAATGATCACTGGAACATCACTGGAAAGTGAAATACTATTCACTGTTGTGACAGGAGACAAACTTCTTGACAAAGACAAGAACTGACTACAGTAAGTAGCAGGTAATGATTGCAGTGGAGGTGACTCACTACTGGATGTTACAACCAACAAATGTGAGTAACAAATACCCAGAGCTAACAAAAACTTATACTATTTAAATTTTCTTTTTGCCATGTAATGAAGACTTTAATACTTTAACATTTCAATTTAACACTGAAAGCTGAGTTAGTATAAATTAAAGGGCGAAAATAAAAGTTTCATAACTCAATTATCATAATCATAAACTTAAGTAAACCTAGGGGCCTCTTCAGGGAACCCAAATGAACTAAGGAATTTAGACACTTAAGGCATGTAGGATACCTAGGAAACTGAATTCCAGAGAGGTAGAGCAAAGTCCCAATCTGATTAAATGAAGAAATGTTATAAAGTAGGCTGTCAGCTACAAGCGAAGAGCTGAAAATGCTGCAAGGATTATGAGGGTCATTTAACCTCAATAATAACATGGAAATTGAATGGAACTTGCCAACCTTTTTTCCTGGCACAATACAGCAAAGTAGAGCCAAAAATTAAAGAGGAAAAAAAAAATAAAAAAGAAGAAAGAAGAAAGAAAAAAGAAAATAAAGGGAAAAAAAGGCATATCATGATTTGATAAGTTTGAAAAAAAAAAAAATTATATAAATTGGGCCAGGAGCTGAATTAGTATTTTGCATCTGTTTTCAAACAGACACTGATGACAGACTATGAACATCAGCATGGATAGCAAGAGGAATACAGAACAGAAATTAACACAAATGAGATAAAACTACAAAAAATTCGAAGCACTATGTACTCTTAACTCAGAAAGTATAAAACCTCTTCCCAGTGATACCAACAAATACAATAAGAAAGAGGCTGCAACTTCTCCCTTTTTTTTCCTCATCAGAAAACTGTATTGTTAACAACACAGAAGAAAGGGTGTGAAAAAGACTCAAGAGGTTGAGCTCTGATTTTATGGCAGCAGAGTTTCTCAGATCCTTCCCTTTGCAAGACAGTTCTGGCAATTTTTTTGCCATTTCATAAACCCGACAGGGAATTGCACGTGCCAACTCACATTAACTGTAGCTTTCTGTCACCACGTTGAAATAGGGGTGTGAAAATCCTGAGGATCCTGACAATTCAGCTGCTTTCAGGATCACCTTTCAAGCATGTTTTGACCAGGCATGCTTCAAACATAAGTCATGCTGCTGAAAAACTGACTATAATCTGCACTGTCACTTAGCAGTGATCTTCAGGCAGATCTTTAAAAGTAGCACACTTCTGCAAACAAACAAAATACATAAATAACAAAAAGGTCTGACGCTATCAACAAGAATATGCCCAAAAGTAATGACAGGACAAACTGAGGAAATGTTCAAGAATTTCAGGAAGCCACATCTTCTAAACACTTCATTCCACTAATGGTCCAACAGTGCTGATAGGCATCACCACTGGAATATCTGACCATACTCAAGGCACAATTAACCAGAGGCTTAAGCAACAGGAGTACAGAACTTTTCATGGTGAAGAAATGGGATCAAAAGAGTGACAGGAAAAATTTCATTTCATTTCATCAGGCCGTGGCAGACAGATCTGTTCTTAGGAAGTTTCTAAGCTCACAACCAGGTTTCAACCTTTCAGGTTCATCCTGTAACTGGTAACAAATTAGCCACATTGAAGCTAATCTTCATACTTTTTTATCCAAAGGGCACCTATATACCTATCTATCTATCTATCTATCTATCTATCTATCTATCTATCTATCTATCTATCTCTATATATATCTATATATATATCCTATATATATGCTGTAATACTGACATTGGCTTACTGCATAGTATGGTCAGTGAACAGGCTAAGCCACAGTAGGGTCCTAATTTCAAATTAAATGGACCTCTAAGTACCTCTTCAGCATATCTGCACATCAATTTATATGAAGGTCTTAATTAGGGGCATGAACTAGCCTGTAAACAAAACTTCAATCACTTGTATACACAACCTGTGTAATGAGATCAGAGTTCATGCCTTATTGCACAAATAGCATTTTTATTACAATAAAACAGTATAATACTATTTCTTTTGTAAAGTACACCTATTATACAGTGAAGCCATTGAAGCTACAGGCAACAAATACCCAAATAAATGTTCTGCAAATACCATCAACATCATGTTGTCAAATACCATCATTTTTCCTCATTTGCAAAATGATCACACTAAACATATGCTTTGGTTCTTCTCACTTTAATCATGTCCAAAATGGTATGAACAGAAGTTGCTGCCACTTATAACTTGTAAAATTACACTTACTAATTTTTATAAAAGTGTGTGTACGTGTGCAAATTAATGTATATTTTAGCAGAATTTAACAAGCACTTAATTTTCTTAACATATCTTAGTCATTTTACAATATGCAACACAGTGGCAGAGTTAAAAAAAAACCTGGTACTGCACTATTTCTTTTGGCTACATTCTCAAAGGAATCAACAGGGATTTTTGATTAAGCAAACAATGACACATCATACAACAAAAGCATAGCATGGAAAAATCACTGAGGATAAAATATGCTTCCATCTTCATTCTCTGGAACTGAGCTCTTTAATTTTCTACTGATCTCTGCTAAACAAGTCCTAGCACTCCACAGCTCCTCATTCTTACGCTGTACTAGAACTCTGAATTCTCACAAAATCTGCTCAATATATACACTAAATATTTATGAAATGCTTCATTAACCAGTATTTCTACAGTCCACAGGGAGCTTTAAATTTCAACACGTGGAATAAACAGCAGTGAA